TTCCTCTCAACTTAAATGTGAAAACACTTATAAACTTCCTTGGGAAATACTTAGTTCCCTAATTACTTTTGAGAAATGAACTCAACTCTTGACTCTTGACTTAACTCGAAACTCGATACTCTTTACTCGACTTGAAACTTGAGACTCTTTGCTTGACTTGAAACTATATACTTATCTTGAAACTCTATACTTATCTTGGAACTCCATACTTAACTTGGAACTTGAGCCTTAGAATGAAGTTAAAACGTTCAATGAAGACTCTTGAAAACTTTGAAGACTTACTTGGACTTACTTAACTTCTAAGCTTGACTTCTAATTTCACTTGGCTTCTAACTTCACTTGACTTGGGAAACTAACTTCACTTAACTTGGAAACTAACTTCACTTGACTTGGAAACTAACTTTCCTTGAATTGGAATTATGAATTCAAGGTGTTTGATCACATGTTATGGAGGGATTCTTGATGTTTAGACGTACTTTGGAGTGTCGGAAACAACTATGAAACATAGGTCTAATACCTAGGAACATGCATGAGAAAGTGTTAAAGGAATGGGGGAACTTGGCGTCCTTGGCGCTCTGAGAGGCGCGGGGCGCCAGCCCTTGGAGCTCAGAAGGACTGCTGTGGCGTTCTGAGAGACGTGCCACGCCAGGGGTAAAACATCAGAACCCCTGTTGGGGTGCGCTGGCTGGCGCGAAGCCCCAGCCTTTTCCCCCCAAAAATCCGACTCTTCTCCTTCATTTTTCCAACTCTAAGCCTCCTTAAGTTCAATGGATCCAGCCCCAAACACTTAGAATCATAAACCCCTCAACATACAATATATTTCAACTCACAACACAACCGGAAACATGCCCAAAATCAACAAGAACTTCAACACAATCACAACCAACAACTTCAACAAACCTAATCAATCTTTTCTCAATAATAAAAATGAGTTTGGTGTGTGAGGGAAAGGATCAACCCACACTAAGAACTAACATACCTTAATAGGGATCACCCCCGACGATTTCCACAATGATCTCCTTGCTTGATCTTCCCTTTCTCCTCTTCTTCTTCTCTTCTTTCTTTCTTCTTCTCTTCTTCACTCAAGAACCCTAACTCTTACTCTTTTAAAATGGGACAAAAATGATCCACAAATCAGCCTAACACAATAATATAACCAAAGGAATTGGTTAGTGAAAAGACCAAAATGCCCTTACAATTTTCCGGACGGATTTCCCTGCCAACTGCCCAACTTCCAAAGGGGATAACTCACTCATACAAACTCGGAATCGAGCAAACTCGGTGGCGTTGGAAAGATCATTACACAAGATTTGCAATCATAACTGGAACTGCTCCTAACTCATCTTGATATAGGAGTTATAACTGCTCAAAGTTGGCCAAAAACTCACCTTTTCCCACACTTAACCAAAATTCCAGATTTTTTTAAAATTCTTTCCAAAAATGAAAATTTCCAATTCTAAGCCTCTTCAATTATTTCACATTGCCGGATGTTACAAGTCATACCCCATTTGAATCTGGACAAGAGCACTCTGCCAGGTGGTGGTCCCTGCATTTGTGAGGATCATCAAAACACCTAGAATATAATATTTTCCCCCTTTTTGATGATGACACACAAATATTCCTCATACTAAGTTTATTCATTCATTTCATTGTCAGCAGTCCCAATAACAAGGATATGGTTCCTGACATGTGAAGTCGAGAGCTTAGAATACCCCCATCAGTACCATGTGTTGAATTTTCCTATACGACTTGAAATACTAAAGCTTCATTTATCAAAAGCCTTTAAAACCACTCCCTTTTGCATCTCTGCACCAAATCTCAAATACCTGAAATTCTCTGGCTTTTACCTGAATTCTCAATACTTATCAGAAACTGCTGATCATCTCAAGCATCTTGAGGTACTCAAACTGTACCACGTTGAATTTGGTGATCATGGGGAATGGAAAGTGAGCAGTGGCAAGTTCCTTAAACTCAAAATCTTGAAACTAGAATATGTGTCCTTGATGAAATGGGTTGTAGCTGATGATGCCTTTCCTAACCTTGAACAATTGGTTTTGCTTGGATGTGAAGATCTTATAGAGATCCCTTCTTGTTTCATGAACATCCTTTCTCTCAAGTGCATTGAGGTAGACATCTGCAACAAGTCTGTTGTAAGTCAGCCAAGGATATACAAGAAACACAAGTCGAATATAATCAAAATACTAATTTCAAGCTCGTCATCATCAAGGTACACTACTGGAGAAAAGGCTTTATTCTGCATGATTTTGATGAATCAGAAATAACGGCTTTAAACTTTATGAACTGTTTTCACTGTTATCTTTAACCCTCGTGGCGTCATTTGGGTTTTCTTGCAGAAAATGGTGTTGAAATTCAATACATCTCCTGATGAAGAGATAGTTAAAAGATTATCCTCTCTTCCAGGTACAGATTATATTTTCTTTCTTCCTTTTTTTAGTACATCATAAAATTGATTCATCTTTTTTGTCATTTTGATATGAAAGGGATAAAATCAATTTCAATTAATAGGAGAGAAAAGAAACTTACTGTGGGTGGAGATGTGGATGCTGATGAAGTTTGATTGGTTGTGGGCAAACTAAGCAAGCGTGACATGCTGTAATGAAATGCTGAGCTCTGGTGAACTCAGCCATGATGGATTTCCAGAAAATGACAAGGTTGTAGTCCCAACTTATCAACACAAATGTGTGCTATAGTCCTTTTGCTTACTGAAGTACTGTAATACCAATTCATGATACACACACAAACATTAACTGTAGGATCAGCAAAAGATGGCACTGAGAAAATAAATGTAGAGTCAAGTTGGGTTATGACCAAAGTAAAGTCTGGATGAGTCAATAATCTGCTGATTTATAATTAGTTCAACCCATTGTAATTTGTTCAAATTCAACTCAAAATGCCCATTTATCACCTCTAACTGATGACTACATCTGCAAAGTTAATGGTTTTGTTGATAAATTTCAAAGCAAGGTTGAGGAACTAGTTACTTAAGCTAGGACCTAAGGTTTTTATCCATTTTCAACTGTGATTTTTGTTGAATGGTAAATGGATACTTTTAAGGCAGTTCTCACACAAAGTAAATATCTATATAAAAAGAAAAAAACAGTTTTAATTATTTATTGGCCGTAAACTAAAATCTGTATTATTTGTTATGTCTGCTTTACTTCTGTATTTTGAACTGCTTTGATATGCGTTACTTGAGCCGAGGATCTTTTGGAAACAGTGCATCTACCTCTATGTAAGGGTAATAAGATTTGCACACACTCTACCTACCGCAGACCCGTATCTGTGAGATCACATTGGGTATGGTGTTGGTTGTGATCTTAAACTAAAATGTGTATTCCTGGAGCTAAAAATTTGACATCAAAAAGAGAAAGATCATAACTTTGTGGGATCGTTTGTTTATGTAAGTTTTGTAGCTCTAAATATTCTGGAGTCTGGACAACTATAACTATATTTTTTGAGCTATTAACTCATTGAGTTATTCTTTAACAGGGTATGCAGAGTTTGTAGCTGGAGCAATTTGGAACATCACATGTAATTTCTTTATGAGTTGTTTCTTTTAATAAAACTCTGTAAACTTCCCTGCAGCTGGTGCATTCATCGTGATTTGTAAATTAAATACATTTCAAAACATTCACTCAGTCCTTAATGTTTGTGGCTCCTGAATTGAATGGTTTCACCCTTTTGTATTTTCTTATGAATATACAACAATATAGTTAGTGTAATCGCAAAGGCCACAGGTGGGTTTGGAATGGTGGTGCTCTCAAATTTCTGCTGAATGACTCTCAAATTGTGAGTCTTTTCATTAAATAGAGAGTACAAAGATTACATATCCATAAAGAATCCATCATTCCAATCCCTTAAAACCTCAGTTATTCTAATCTCTCTAAATCTGCTATGATATCCCTCTGAATCAGCTATTCGATCACAATATTTATTTTCTTTGATTTTACAACAAATCTATATAATTATACTACTGTACAGCAGTATATATTACATTAATATATACAATCATTCACTATTAATTCATGATTTGTGAAGATAAAGATGTGGTTTCTTATAGAACTCAGCAGCCCAGATAGAGAAGCAAGAGGCCTACTCAAAGGTGTACATTTTACATCCTGACGGACGAGTTTGCTGATCCAAATACATCACCCTTTCCTTTTTCACCGCCCAACAGAAATCGGAAAGACTAAACTGGAAGTCAGAGCTAAATACCCTTTTCTCAAAATACCAACTTTGTTTTATAACACAAAAGTCATTCATCTTTGTTGGTTCTATGCAATTTTGTTGATTGACAAGTGGCAGGTTCATAGATACACTGTCTCAAAGAGCTGAATCTGTAGCAAGATCACCAATGAATAAAGACAAGTGTGCAATAATCAAGCAACAAATGATAGTTACTTCATAGGCGAGGAGTTTGATTTGAAGAAGGAGTTGACTTGAAGTAGAACTCTAAATAGAGAGAGTTTTGATTTTATGAGGAGTTTAAATTGAAGAATAACTCTTTGAACAGTTGTATGATTATATGTATTTTTAGTTTAGGATTATAAGATTCAAAAATCTTCTCTTTTACTTTCTAAAATTTCATATCAAATTAAAACAAAAACAAAAAAAAAAAAACCGAAATGGAGGGAGTACTTAGAAATCAGAGTACAATGGTATTCCTAAACCACTAGAAATTAGAGCAAACGATTATACTTACACTATTAATAAATTGCAACTATTCATTTAAGCGACAATTGTTAAACCTAGATGCCATAAAGCTCAGAAATAAATCATTTCGTTTGTATTATGGATTTGAGTAATAGGCCTAAATGAGTTTGAGCTTGTATCTGTTTTTTCTCATTTATCAATAAGAAGTTCCCGAAATTTTAGTTTTTTTTTAAAATGTCAAAAACATATCTAAATTATCTTATTTTATATTTAAATTGTTGAAAGGGTGAGTTTTCTACCTGAATTATCATCCCATGATTAGCGAAACACACCTAGACATTGATTGGACCAAATGTTTGTCTAGAAATGCTTCTAGGGCCGTTTGTCCATATAATCTTTGACCATTTGACATATACAATGACTATATTAGTTAATACATTAATTTTTAAATATATTTTTAATTAATTTCTTTAAAATCTTAAACTCTCTCCTTCCAAGATGAACATATTGAGGCCACAGCAGAGACGAGACTACAACTAAAGAAGGTATAGAAGAAAATGATGGATGTCACGGTTGAAATAAATTAATGGCATAATACATATATTGGACCCTAAACTTGGTTTCAAATTTTAACTTTGACCTCCAACTTTCATAGTGCACAAACAGGCACTTTAACTATCCAACTTTTTAATAAATAAACACGCGATTTTTGGAGGCAAAGAGCGTGAAATGCAAAACGCTCCCACGTGTATTAGTGAGCCACTCAGTGGCTGCCAACTAATTAAATACTTTACACATCCATTTTAGAACTAAAAAAAAAATTAAAATTACTTTTAATTAATATACAAGGGTTATAGCTCTTTTTCCACAATGACAAAAAAAATTAGAAGCCATTTGCACTAAATATGAGCACAAATCGTTTTAAAAGAGAGGCAAAAAATTTTGATTTGAAAGAGGAGGAAAGAGAAATGAGATTTTGATTTGGAAATATAAAGATATTATATAAAAGGGATTGATCAAGGGTAGATTTGTCATTTCAGCATTTTTTTTTTACTGTTGTGGGCCTCAAAAATTACTCCTAACTCGCGTAAAATACATGCACATCACGCGTTTTGCCAGGTAGGACACACGTGTTTATTTATTAAAAGATTGGATAGTTAAAGTGCCTGTTTGTGCACTATGAAAGTTGGAGGTCAAAGTTGAAATTTGAAGCCAAGTTTAGGGTCCAATATATGTATTATGCCTAAATTAATTTATATGGTGATAGTTTTAACATATAACATAATATTAATTTATTTAGATTTGCCATAGTGAAATTAGTTTTCCATGTGGAGTGTCATGTGACAAAATTTCAAAACAAAAGAGAGAGGACAATACACACAACATCATAAATTAGTCGAGAGGTGTTTCACTAACTATTGAGTGATAGTTCAAAGAGGAAACTCACATTCTCAATAATTCAGATATGAAACTCAAAAAATTGAATAGTTTAGGTGTATTTTTTATCCTTTAACGCTTTCGTTAATAAAGGGGAAAATAAGCCCTATTATTGTTCGTCAAGAATAGACAAATGCAATTTTTGGTTTCCCGCCATTCCAAGACCAATTTTTGGTTGCCGGCAATTTCTGCATCTCACTTGTCAAATGTAATTAATTGCAATTCAATATTTAGTTGTAAACCAACACTAAATGTTGCAAAAATCAACTTTAACTGAGCTATAATATCAGTAACAAACTGACTAAATACATATTAAATATCCATCAAACAATCTAAAAAGTCTACCAAACTTCATTCATTTACAAAACATTCAATTACCAAATAGTATTAAAATTATCAAGTCAATAATATTCCTAATTAAGGTATCTAGGCAACAGTTAAATAAACCGATGGACAATATCGGGTTTTTTTTAATTTTTTTTTTTTAAAAAAAACTGACTTTGTTCGTCGCTTTCTAATTTTTATATTTTCTCCCAAAAAAAATCGTTTGCAAAATTTATGGACCATCTCAAAAAATTTATCTCATGCAAAAAATTGAGAGATATCCCTCAGTTTATTATAAAAAGGGAAAATGCATAAGTACCCCCCCAGCCTATGCCCGAAATCCCAGAGACACACCTAATCTTTACTAAGGTCCTATTACCCCCCC